TTAATTATTCCACTCCCCTTAATCTCACTCTTCTTCAAAGTCTCAGAACATGGGCAAAATGTACACAATTTTTTTTTGCCAGAGAATAACACATGCACACAGTCTCCAGACCTTGCTCCCTGCTGAAAATTTCTGAGCCTACGCACTACTGTCCTTATGCCCATCAGCATCCTGGTCTCCTTAGCAATCACCAGTATTGCATGTAAAGCACTTCTCAAAAAAAATTCTAAGATTTCTGTAGCCTGAATTTTCAAACCTTTCCAAACTCTCTCCATAAATCAATTGCAAAGATTTCTAAACAAAATAGTCAAACAGTTGCAGCGGTGATCCCACTTCTGGTACAATTTTCTGCATTAGTCATTTTCCCGTCACTTATGTCACTGGGACATAATACCTGATAGCTACAACTTAAAGGAGGAGCAGTTTGCCTTGGCACAAAGTTTCAGTGAGTTCAGCCCCTGGTTCACAAGCTCCAGGGAAGAGACCACATGTTAGAAGGGGAAGCAGAGGTAAGGTGCTCACATCAGGGGAGCCAGGAAGCAAAGAAAGAAAGGAGGAATGAGGGACAGAAATATACCCTTCTAGGTCACAGTTCTCATGGCCCACCTTAGATCAGGCTCCACTTCCTAATAGCCCAGTCCTCAACAAAACTCTAAATGGAGGAATCTACTGATGAGTATAGCATCCCAATTATCCATTCACCTTCCAGACATGAGATATTTGGGACCACTTAGAGAGAACCATAACAAGCACCTCTCAAGAGAAGTCACATTAGTCTATTGTGACCAATAGATGTTTGAAGAAAATGTTAGCAACACAAAAGATCAGGGTGATAAATGACAATAATGGTAAGATATCACCTCGTCTTATTAGAATGGCTGTTATCATAAAAGATGAAAGTCAGTATTGGCAAGAGTGGGGAGGAAAAGAAACCCTTAAATACTATTTGCAGAAATGTAAATGAGTACAGCCATTATAGAAAACAGAATGGAGGTTCCTGAAAAATAGAAGTATATGACCGAACAATTCTTCCACTAGATACCTATCCAAAGGAAATAAAGTCAGTATAAGAAAGTGATTTCTGGACTCCCATATTCACTTCAGTATTATTCAAAATGCCAAATTATTGAATCAACTGAAGTGTTCATCAGTGGGTGAAAAGATAAATTAAATGTAGTGCATATATACAGTGGAATACTTTTAGACTTTAAAATGAAGGAAATCTTGTCAATTGCAACACTATAGGTAAACCTAGAGGATGTTCTATTATGTGAAATGAACCAAACACAAAAACAAAAATACTTCATGATCTTACCTATAATAGGAGTTAAAGAAGTTGAACATGTAGAAAGAGAGATCACAATGGTGGTTAGCAGAGATGAGAGAGTGTGCTTGGGGGAAATGTTAGTCAAAGGATAAAAAATTTCACTTACATAGGAGGAAAAAATGTACAGTCACTATGATATAAGATGGTGACTGTAATCAACAGCAATGCACTATATTCTCAAAAATTAGTGAAAAAGTAGATTTTAAGTGTTCTCACCAGAGAACACACATATGGGAAGTGATGCATATGTTACTTAGCTTGATTTAATCATTCCAAGTAGATTCACATTTCAAAAAGTATATTCTATGTTATAAATATCTATAATATTATTTCTCAGTGAAAGAACAAAAACAATCAAAAATCCAACAACTGTTTTAAATTTATTTAAAGAGCAAGAGAGAAAAAAATATATATATAATTCCAGCTACTCAAAGGGCTGTGGCAGAAGGATCGTAAGTTCATGGTCAGCTGGACAACATAGCAAGACTGTATTTCAAAACATTAAAAATAAAGTAATGAGAACTAGAGAAAATAAAAAAGTTATATGTGAGGAAAAATGAGAATATCAACAAAATATTAGAAATTATAAAAAGAGGGCTGGGGATTTAGCTCAGCGGCAAAAGCGCCTGCCTGGCAAGAGCAAGGTCGTGAGTTCCGTTCCCGGTACCTGAGAAAAACCAAAAAAAAAAAAAAAAAAAAAAAAAGAAATTATAAAAAGATCCATATAAGCTAGAGCTAAAATATACAATAACTGAATTGAAACATGTGTTAGTGAATTTAAAGACAAGATCATTGAAAGTAGTCTGAGGAGCAAAGAAAGAATGTAGGAACAGATTCTAACAGACTTGTAGAACTACATCAAGCAGAAAAAGATACGCATTATTTTCCCCAGAAGGAATAGTGCAAAAGAGAGAAATTGTTTGAAGAGATAATGGCTGAAAACTTCTCAAATTTGATGAAAAATATGGCTCTACAAATCCAAATAGGATAGACCAAGAGATGCACATCAACACCCATAATTTTTAACAGAGTATCTTAAAGGATTTAGAAAAATAAAAATCACACAGCATAAAAATCAATCACAAATACCCACAATCCAGGGTACACAGTATGAAGAAAAAAGAAATTTGTAACATCAGTAGCAGTGTGCAGAAGGAATATGGTTGTATTTTTTTATCCTGGGGAATTAAGGTGAAGTGGCTATCAGTTTAAGATGGACTGTCATAATATTTGGATTTTGTATTAAACCCTATGCTGATCACACGCATGCACACACACACACACACACACACACACTTTGGTAGAAAATGTAGAAAGATTAAGTGAGATAGTAATCAAACTATGTCAGTATAAAAAACTCAAATAAACACAAAGGAAGGCCATAATGAAGAAATGAGAGACAAAAGACATAGAAAACAACAAAATGGCAATAAAAGTCCTTCCCTGCCAGTAATTATTTTCAATATAAATTGATCAAGATACCAATCAAAAGATAGATTAGCAGACTAGGTCTTGAAATAACACTAGGATCCAACTATACCTATGTGTTATCTACAAGAGACTCCCATTAGAGTTAAGCACATGCCTGGGTTGAAAGGGAAAGATGGAAAAAAGAAATCTTATGCAAATTTTAACTAGAAGAGAGTAAAGAAGCCTTCACTAATATCAGACAAACTAAACTGAACTGGATTCAAATAAAAAACCAATTACAAGAGACAAAGAAGAATAGCATAAAAGGGACACTAGTTACAAAAGACAAAGGACACTACAGTTCACCAAAAGATGCAACAATTATAAGTGTATATGCCCCAAACATTAGATCTCCAAAATAGATGAAGGCAAACATTGACAGAATTATGGGGAGACATACCCAACTCTACAGCATTAGAGTCTTCAATATTCTTCTGTATTAGTCATTTTCTTGTCATTGGGGCAAAATACACAACAGCCACAGGTTAAAAGAGATGTTTACTTTGGCTCACCATTTCAGTGGATTCAGTCCAAGGTATGATGGCTGAAAGGCAGAAACAGCATGGTAGAATGGCATGACAGAGGAAAGCTATCCACCACATGGCAATCAGGTAACAGTGAGAAGGAGCTGGGGATGAGATTGCACACTTCTAAGTCACACTTGCAGTGACCACCCACTTCCAACCAGGACCCATCTCCAAACATGAGACATTTGGGGGACATTTTACACCTAAACCATATAGTTCCACCCTGGTCCCCAAAAGGCTCATGTCCATCTCATTATATAAAATGCATTTAGTTCATCTCCAAGAATCACTAAAGTCTTAACATTTCCAGGACTGATGAAAAGTTTATCTACAATGTGTCTCTGAGACACAAGGCAAACTTTTAGTTGTGAGCCTTTGTAAAAATAAAATAGAAAGTTAAACACTTCCAACATACAATAGCACAGGGTAAACATCTCCAATCCCAAAGGGAGGAATATGAGAATAGACAGAAATCAGATCAAAGCTAGACCAAAAAGTAGCAGGGCCAGCATTAAATCCTGTAGTTGCTTGTTCTGCATCAGGGCAGGTTTTGGTGAGATGTTAACTCCAAGGGGATTGGTCAGCCTCACCTCTACTGCACTGCCTACTGAAGCACATGGCTTCTGTGGATTGGATCAGCTCACTGCCTATAACTTTTCTCAGCAGACAGTCCACATTCCTGGCACCTCCAGCTTCCAGGGCTTTCAACTACAATTTTGGCTTTATTCGAGTAGCTTCAGGCAGTCCTATCTCGTGAATTTCTGCCTGGGTTTGTGACTCTGACATTTTGCTTGGCTTTCCTGACCTTCTGAAATCTGGGGAGAAAGCTTCTGTGAACTCATAATTCTTACAGACCCATATGTCTGAAAAACCAGCTTCACTTGAATAATGCCAAGGTAGCTGTCATCTTGAGCAGGTTCTTGGCCCACTCCTTGGACCATGAGTGCAGCACATCCTAATTCATGAATGGCTGAACACGGGAATTCAATTCCCTAGGGATCCCTCAATGATCTGTGTCCTATGACCTGATCTGTGTCCTGTGACCCATTTTTGCAGGTGCTTCTTTTCTGGTGAAACTGCAAACTTTTTAGATCATTTAGCTCTATCATGTATTCCTGATTCTTATGGTAGATCTGGTTAAAAGAAGCCAGCAGTATCCATGCCACAGCTTGAACATTTGGCTGCCTTGGAAGTTCTTCTACCAGATCAATTAATTAGTCTGCTGCCCTGAATCCTCTTGCAAAGTCTTGTGACATGAGCAAGACGTAGACAAATTTTATGTCAAAGAGAAAGACACGTGCTTGCAGTCCGACTTCCAATGGAATCCTTGTTCACAAATTAACCCCACTGAGTATAGCTTTTATTCTCCATATTCCTATTAGCTTTCTGATCATCTGGGCTCTGAACAGTGTCACCTATTAAGCACTGCTTACCACACTCTAGAGTTATAGCCCACATCTCCAAGCCTTTCCAAACTCCTCCTGCAAATGAGTTCTAACAGCCTCAGAACAACATTATTGTGTAAAGTCTCATCAGTGACCACACTACTGGCTCCAGGTTTCTGCATTAGTCACTTCCTTGTTTCTGGGACAGAATACCCAACAGGCCCAATTCAAAGTTGAGAAATTTATTAGAGTTGAGAGTTGAGAGGTTCAGTCCATGAACCACTGATACAGGCAGAAATGTTATGGCAGAACAGCATGGCAGAGGAAACTATTTCACTGCATAGTAGCCAGGAAACAGAGAGAGAAGGGAGGAGCCAGAGTCAAGAATACTCCCGTCCAAATCACAACCCCATTGTCCAATCCCATTGTCTCACCCCTTGTAATCAGGCCACATCTTTAAATCTGAGACTTTTGGGGGACATTTTAGATTTAAACTATTAAATCTACTTTTAATAATGTATAGAAAACTAGAAAGAAGATTGATAATGACAGAGGTGACTTGAACCTACACTAACCAATCAGACCAGACATAAATATACAGAATGCTCCATCCAAATACAGCTGTCCATGGAAACTTCTCCACGATAGACCATATGTTAGGCCACAAAACAAGTATTAATAAATTTAAAAATATTCAAATTATACGAGGTATCTTCTCTGATCACAGTGGAAGGAAGCTAGATATCAGTAGATGAAAGAAAACTGGAAAAATTACAAAGTTAATACAGAAATTAAACTGCACCATCCTGAACAACTAGTGAGTCAAATAAGAGTAGAGAAGAAAAATTAGTGTCTTGAAATAAATGAAAAATGAAACACAATGTACCAAAATTTAGGGAGGTAATGAAAATAGTACCATGAAGCAATATTAGAATGGTAAATACTTACATTAATTGAAAAAGGATCTCAAGTCAAGAACTTGACTTTATACCTCCAATCTTCAGAAAAATTAAAGAACAAGCTGAAGCCAAAGTTATAAGAAAAAAGAAAATAATAAATATTACTGCAGAAATATTTGATGTAAAGAAGAGAAAATAGAGATAAATCATTAAACAGGGTTAGTTCTTTCTAAAAATCAAGATGGACAAATGTTTAGCTAGATGAACGAAAAAGGAGAAAACTCTAAAGCTAAAATCAAAAACAAAAGAGACTTTAGTATTGATTTTACAGAAATAAAAAAGATCATGACAGAACTCTTAATACTATTAAAGTAGCAAATTAAGTGAAATAGACAAATTCCCAAAAACATAAAACCATAAACCTAAATATAAAACATATAAACATACACAAATGTATAAAAACATAAAAATAGAAACATAAACCTAAAAATATAAAATCCTACTATGGACTGATTCAAGAAGAAACAAAAATTCTGAATAGGTCTATAGTTATTAAGGACATTAATAAGCTCTATAATTAATCATTTTTTAAAAACCTCCCAACAAAGGAATGCACTGGATCAAAGAGCTGCACTGATAAATTCTATCCAAGCAAATATTTTTGTGGGCCCCCTTCTCAATATAAAGAACTTGAGTCACCAAAAATAAGCATATCAGCACGATCCTGGCTAGCTAACCTCACATGATCCAGTGAAAGAAATTCCCGTCCCATCAGTGAGGGTGCACTTATCAGACCATTCGCTTGGAACCAAAAGTTGTCCAGGGAGTTCCAACACAATCCCATTGGCATGAGTCCTAGGAGTCCTGTGTAGATGGCTATTGAACATGTCAAATGGAAGAACTGGGGACCTGACCTTTTTGAGCAGGTTTGAGCAGCTTGAGAGGAAAACACACTGCTGGTCCTGGCTTATCCAAGGAACTGGAGGAGGCTTTAAATTTTTCAAGGAAAACATATCGTAGCGTGGAGAATACATAGAGCCTTCTGAGATTCACAGTCCAAGGCAGGAAACAGGATCCAAAACCTTTCCTTCTGGTGTCATAAATGATTAGGCACCCTTAGCACATTTTCTGTAGTTTGACAACTTCTCTGGACATTTCAGCGCTGTTCCTAAAGATTTAAGCAAGATGAATACAAAGTTTTGTGAAGGTCTGAAGGGAGAAGGATGAATATGTGAGTTGTGGGATGGGTGACCATCAGTTTATCAGGTGACAAAGATGGAGGAAAGCAATAAAATTCTATAGCTCGCCTGTGCAAGGGCACAGAGTTCCCAGCTCACCTGAGGAATGATGACTCCTCTGGTGCACGTGGAATGGTAGCATCTACTGAACACACTATCTGCTCCTGTGAACTGCTAAGTATTCTTAGCTTCTTTTTCCTCTGTATGGAGGCTTATCATTAATATGTGAATTTTCATAACTCAAATTATCCAAAAGGCCCAGAGTCCCCAAATTATCATTGTTTACATGTGATCAGGAATTTGATAATGATGTTTATGTTCTGCCACTCATTCCTCAAGCTGCTGTGACCTAATGATAATTAATATAGGTTTAGTTTCTGCACATCTGTGAACCAAAACATAATTCTAAATGCTTGGTGTGACTTATCTCATTTAATCCGCACACTGACAACTATTACTAATGCATATAAAATTATATCCATTGATGGGTGTTGATATTTTCCTCCATGCACATGTTGTTCTTTGTCATGTCCACCCTTCTTCTACTCTCTTTTCCCCCTCTTTTCTCTCCCCCTTAACCCTACCCCTTTTCTCTTTTAAGATAGTTCCTCTACTACTTTTAAATCATGTTTTGGGTTTAATTTAATGAGTTCCAGTTCCAGCTGTTCTCCTAAAAATGATATCACATCATTCTTTGGGCCTCAATAACCATCCATTGTGTGTATATAATACCTATTTTTTGTCCATTTATCTCTTGATGTGCACCTAAGCTACTTTCATAACTTGGCTATTGTTAGTAGTGCCAGAGTAAATACAGGCAGACAGGTATCTCTTTAAGTATACCCTGTTTGGGGTTAGGAATATAGCTCAGGAGCACAGCACCTGCCTGGCAAGCACAAGGTTCTCAGTTTGAGTGCCTATACCAAAAAAAAACAAAAAAAACAAACAAAAAAAAAACATTAAAAAGTAGCATATTTTATTGCTAAGAAACTTTCCAGGTGTAGTAATTCACTTCTGTAACCCCAATTTCTTTCCTTTTTTTGGTATCAGGAATCGAACTCACGACCTCATGTTTGCTGGGCAGGCACTGTGCCACTGAGCTAGATTCCCTGCCCTTGTAACCATAGTTTCTGAGGAGGCTTGGCAGAAGGATCATGAATTCAAAGCCAGTCTGGACAACTTAGAGAGACCCTTTCTCAAGAAAGAAAGTAAATAAGATTAAAAATATTCAATGTCTAGGCTAGTAGAATAATATTGCATTCTGCTACACAATCCTTAGTTTTTTGAATGTCATTTCTTTTTGTTCAGGGCAGTGGAGCGGAGTGCTGGGGATGGAACCCAGGGCCTTGGGCGAGCAAGGAAAGAGCTCTACCACTGAGCCATATCACAGTCCCTGAATATCATTTCTCAAACTCATCAATTACTTCAATTTGACTAAATCTCGTAACACTTTCCATTCATCACCTCAGCTATCTTACTTGTTCCTTTATTGCTTTGTTTAAAAACACATGATACACAGAGTAAATAATTTCTAATAACTAGAAAAATGAACCGAGTGTGTAGAGCAGTTAATTTTGCAGTAAAACTGAAACAAACATTCCAATACTTTCAGGTGTGGGATCAACATGCAGACAAAAGACGACTCGATTGTGGTGGACCCATCTCAGCCGGACCTGGTCATCAATGTAGGAAAAGTGACTTTTGGTGAAGAAAACAGAAAAAAGCTGCAGAAAAATCAGAGAGATCAAGAGAAGAAGAAAGTTGTGCGGGCTGCATGTGCTTTGCTAAACTCAGGAGGAGGAGTGATTCACACAGAAATGGCAAATGAAGATGACCATCCTGTGGAGATGGGCCAGGACTTAGAGCAGGCCCTGAGAGAGCTGATTCAGTCTTCAGATGTTCTTCAGGCTTTCATAGAGTGCCTGCAACAAGGAAGGCATTCCTACATTTATGTGAAGTCTTGGAGCAGCGGCCCTCCGTCTGAAGACAGTTGCACCAAGCCGAGAATTTGCAGCCTGAGTTCTTCTCTGTACCGTAGATCCAGCACCTCTGTGATTCGCCTGGATCCAAGACAGGCACTCGATTTCCTGAAGACCCAGAAAAGGAATGCAAAGCATACTCTGAGGAATGAAGAATCTCCACCTAGTGAAATCCCCAACATTATACATCAGAACGTCTCTGAATCAAATCCTGCTTTCCAAGTTTTCCAAAGCAACAAGATTGAACATGGTCACATCCTACCTTTTCCGGAGTCTCAATCTGTAGAGTTTAAACAGTACTCCACAAAATGCATTCAAGAATATGTGAGAAGAAAAATTCCAGAATACATCTCTGCATTTGCCAACACTGAAGGAGGCTATCTTTTTATTGGAGTGGATGATAAACGTAAGACAGTCCTGGGATGTGCAAAGGAAGATGTTGACCCTGACTCTTTGCAAAGAGTGATAGCAGGAGCAATTTCCAAGATGCCGGTCTTCCATTTTTGCTCCACTGATGCACGAGTGTCCTATGAGACCAAAGTTATAGATGTGTTTAAAAAGGAAAACTTATATGGTTACCTCGTTGTGGTCAAAGTGGAGCCATTCTGCTGTGCGGTGTTCTCGGAAGCTCCTATTTCATGGATAGTGAATCAGAAGCAGGAAATCATCAGCCTGAACACAAAGGAATGGGTAGCAAAGATGATGGACACGGATCCAGGTAAGAGAGAGAGCTCCTTACCTGTCCTTCGCACCTCTGGGGCATCTCCATGTCTTCCTTATTTTCTATAACTTTGAGCTGAAATGGGCTTTTTCAATCTCCCTACTTTTCACATGTGGAAGAATTTTCATAGGTGATGAAAAGATAAAATCAAGTATTATATGAATGATGATTTCATGTAAGTATGTATATTTTAAACTTCTCTGATTAGAATTTTCTGGAGTTTTATAGTAGTGGCTGCTTGGTACCTCAGATTAGCATGAGACCAACTTTGAGAGATCACAGCCATTGGGTAAGTTTCCTTTCTGTTGGGATTAGTGAAGGTGCAGAGCTATAAAACACATGATTAGAGAATTTAAAAAGTATTAAGAGTTCCACTACAGGCTAAGCAAAGAGATAGTCAAACGTAAGAAGAGCATTTTATTGAGTGGGGGAAATCATTCAAGATTCAAAACTAGGGCTCTTCTAGGAGTTTTGGTAAGTGTGACAATCAGTCTAGAAATGACACAATGTTGCTCTCTGTGGTCTGAATTATACCAGGTTAAATGCAATCTAGAAACCACCTTGTATGACCTATCCCAGTGGTGAGGGATGCAGTCACATAAGATGTTTTCTTCTTTCAGATTTGGCTGAAGGTTTCAAATCTCTGCTGATTTCATCCAACATTCCTCCATGCTGCAGACCGGTTTATTTTAGAAAAGTTCCAGAACCTAAAGCCAGTATCCAACAACATTTGTTTTCAGGTACTAATGGCCATTTAATATATTAGATGAAGAGCAGATGATTTAATATATTTACCTGGCAATAACCTCATGATGTCCTAGAACTCCACGTGTATGAAATGACAATGCCACAGCCTTCCGGGGATAAGTTTCAGGAGCCCTTAGAAATCATCTAGCTTGGTGATTTCAAAATCTGACTTATTATCAGAAACACCACAGCAGGGTTAAGTCAGTGGTGGGCTGTTTACCTGTTTTGTCTGAGGTTCTGGATTCAATACCCCACACCACAAAAAAGAAATACCACAGAAGATAACACTCACATGTGTAGGCCTCTACTAAGTACTTACAAACATGTACATTTCGAGGCTGAGGCCTGAATATGCATTTCAGCAAGTTTCTCCAAAGAGTCTGATGCTCTGCTGGGCTTGAAAACTAATGATCTAGCACAACTGTAGGCATAACTTTAGATTGGAACAGTGGAATAACTGACCTCCTCTGGCCAGCTTCTCAGGGATGGAGGGATTGCATCTGTAAAAAACAAAAAATACAAATATCGATCTGGTAAGACAAAACCACAGAGAAACTATTAAAATTTCTCCTGGAAGAGGCTAGTGAGGGCAAGTCACCAGTGTCCCAAAGATAGCACAAAATGATAATAATTCAAGACCATAGATAATATTAGGTAACTCTTCTCTCCCTTGCCTAAAATATTTTTAGCTAGGTTTTTTGTGGGAGTTTCTACTTTGAAAAAGAAATCCCGATTTTTGGAGGAGGGAAATGGCTTGTTTCATTTCACACGCTGACCACAGTAAATGTGAGAAGTGGCAGTAGAATGGAGTATAACAATGTCTTACAGATGCACTAACATGTATCAAGACAAGGTAATTAACATATTAGGTCTGCTGTAGGTCCATTTTTAATCTAATAGTTTATTTCCTTGAGATCATTCTAGTCTTTAACTTGTCAGAAAAGTTTTTAAACATTCCACAACAAGAATCTGAAATGCAGGAGTAATTTCAGGCATAATGTTCAATTCTTCAGGCTCAATAAATTGCATTTTATTTGGCACACTTATTTATTCTCCATTTTACATGTAATAGGTAATTCACAAAAGCAATACAAACATATTTTTCAGATCTTCTCTATTCTTTTCATGCCTATTATCAACAGGACATTTGCAGTATATCCCTGAATCTCTCTGGAAGGAGCTGTCCTCACAGCATGAAGGATTGGAAGAGTTAATACATCAGCAAATACCTCCTGCCTCCTGCGGAACTCTGATCTTTTCTAGAAGCTTGGCTGTGGACCTGAACTTGGAAGAGAAGCCGGAAGTCATCTGTGATGCTCTGCTTATTGCAAAGAACAGACCCCCCACTCTTTACACCATTCTTGGGGGGCAGGATGCAGAAGCACAAGACTACTGCACCCGCACTGCTTTGACACTGAAGCAAAAGCTGGTGAACGTGGGTGGCTACTCTGGGAAGTTGTGTGTCATTCCCAAGGCCCTCTGCCTCAGTCCCAATGTCAGTGCAGTGTCCTTAACGGTGTCAAGCCCTCAGATAGATTATCCCTGTTCCTATAACCTAGCAGACACCCAGCAAATGGAAGCCTTGCTGCAGGCCTTTGTGATTGTCTTACCTGACTTCAAATCTTTCCTTAGTTACAACCTTGAGAAGATTTTAAATCTTTTCAGAGCTATAGAGAATGAGATTTTAACCCAAAACCTCCACGATTGCAGAGATTTGTTTGTCCATGGCTTACCTGGCTCAGAAAAGACAATCATGGCCATGAAGATCATGGAAAAGATAGGAATGTGTGCCTCTACATTCAAGCAGAAGCTGGTGAACATGGTTGTAAATGTGTGTGTCATGACCAAGGTCCTCTCCCCCTGCCAAGTGGATTCATGGTGTCAAGGGAACCTTAAAAATGGAGAGACACCTGAGTCTGAATCAAACAATAACCTATGTGACACACGCCTACAAGCCTCTTCTTGAAAGGAGCTATTCATCCAAAGATGCTGTGCTTGTCAGTACTGCAAGTGATGTGGACATGAATATTATAATAATGACACAGAGTGCAGCACTCACCTGAATCACGGAAAATGGTCTTACCACAAACGTGTTTTTTTGTTTGTTTGCTTGTTTATGATTTAGTTTTTATTTTTTGGTGCCGGGAATTGAACTCACGACCACATGCTTGCCAGGCAGGTGCTGTGCCTCTGAGCTATTTCTCTGGCCCTATTTTTCATTATTTAAACAATGACATTTTCTAATTCTGT